AAATTTATATATATTTGGATCAATAACAAAAATAGCTTATCTATATAAACTGACTTTAAAAAAATTATAATCGTAGGTATACCCAAAAATAAAAATATTGTTTAAAGTTATCTTTTGCGCATGCAATTTTTCATATTTTAATAAGTGCTTGAAGTTTAATTAAAATTATTGTCCCTCCCATCAAAAGGGTGACAGTTATTTCCCACTGAATGTCACTCCTTCCTCTTAACTATGAAATAAATGAAGAGTCCTTAATTTTTTTTTTTTTTTTTTTTTTTTTTTTTTTTTTTTTTTTTTAAATATCGGGGAGATCCTTTACTTAAACATGGTCTCACTATATTTTCCTTTCACACCAGATGTCAGATTTTTTTTTCTGAGCTTGATTTCAGGTTATGCACATGAAAACAATGCCAGAAAGGAGCATTTACTTGTAAGTTCTGTATCATTGTCATGTCTAATTACGGTATTTACATTTTCAGGACACCAAGTGATGACTCTGTGGTTCATTCTCAGCGCTCTCGGAGATACACCAACGGTAAGCACGGATCTCTCCCCCCTCCGCCAAAACCCTTTTAAACATAGTCATTGGAACGTCGCCGTGCTTTCATCATTGGATTGCAGTTGTTGCATTTAAACTGAAGCATTGAGTGGGCTCACAGTGATGTTATCATTGGTCCTTCGCATGTACAAATGGTTAAGGCGTCTATTTAACGCATGTGGCCTGTTTTGTTCCCTTGTAGCATACGAGTCAATTTTGTTTTTTTCTCTCCTTGCACTTTCTTTGGGGGTGACCGATGCGCTTATACTTAAAGGATTTTCCTCGAACAGTCAGTCTTTCAAGCCAGCTGCACTGTCCATCACAAAGTCAATATGCATGGCTTTAAGTAAATCTTTTACACAGTCCTTTAAGATTTTTTTCCCGCCGCATCAACTAAGCGTTTTCCAGTAGAGTATGGTGTCTGGCTTTCTTGTGAGATGCCCTGCTTATTGGCCCGTTCCTCTGTCCTGCATTTTATGATAAACAGTTTTGCAGCTTAGCTTGATTTGGTTTAGTTGTCCAGCACGTCTTGCCAGCAGATAGGAGTGATGCTAAAACGATTTCCCTATACACCTTCATTTAAGGGACAAGAATGAGACCCCTTCCGTTCCACACAAATGTTGACAAGAACAAAACACAATAATTGAAGGTCAAGGGGTTAATTCTTTAAGAACTGTAATAATGTGTAGTTATGGTTATTTTACTTTAAATTAATTTTGTTTCAAATTTTCTTTTCCCGGCCATCAAAGCTGCAAACATGTAAATCACTGGATCAAAATCAACAGTCTTCACCGAAGATCTTTCAAATGGTAGTAGAGCCAGATCAGAAAAACTTGACTGTCCATTATGGATCGTAAAAGTTACAGATCGTAAGAAAAAAATGGAGGGCTAAGGGAGAGTATTGGAAGAGATTCTAGGAAGTCCCTTTATGCAATGAATTTCTAAACATCAAGCTCCGACCACTCCTTGAATTTGGGAATTTCCATATCTGCTGCCTTTAGGTGTCTGTCTTCTAAGCATTTGTATTTCTTGTAAAAGTTCACCTTTTGAAAACTCATTATAGAAAAAGGTTAATTTTGGAAAGGACACCAATAACACATTTTCACGTGCTGATCAATGCACTTTAGCATCTCCTTACTGTTTTCTTCTCGCAAAGAAACTCCAGCATCCACTAATTGCTCTAGTGCCATTCTCTTCTTAAAACTTGATATTTTGTCTCTAAAAAAATTATCTATTGGTCTGATTTAAAAAGTGCCTTCTCAATACCATGTTCCAATACCATGTCACTGCACTACTTGTACGTAAACAATCTTAAGGCCTCTAGGTCGGTCTCCACTTTATCAAGAGCAAAGCCTTTAGTCCTCAGATACTGCCACCTACGGAGGTCCCCACCACTCTTAAGTACACGCCACTGTTTCCCGCTAAGAACTAATGTAACCCATTTCCCTTGATTATCAACACATACATTTTCGAAGAAGACCCAACTATGATAAGTAACCACCAAACCTGTCTTATAGCATCTAACCAGAATTTAAACTATAACACTCTAAACCAGGGGAGTCAAACTCCAAGTTTCCTGGTGATTCAGGAGGAAGAGACTGCGTGAGTCTCGGCTCAAAGTCAAAGTTCATAGTGGAAAAGAGTTTTTCACACAGATAGGTTTTCCCAAAAATACACATGACCCACTTGAACAACCTGGAAATCTTAGGAAAGGTTGGGGGGGGGGGGGCAATGCTTGCATACATTTTCCATGCTTGTCTGTTTTTCCCATTCACCTCCCTGAACTTAACCTTGAGTTCAGATATGCACTGAAGATCAAACAGCTCTTTTTGAAGCGCAAATGGAAAAAATGTTGAGGGGCATCTTCCACATTAAAGGAGAAAAGGTCAGCAAAAATGTGAAAAGTCGCTCTGTGTGTTTTAAAGTCTGCAAATGTGTGATCGAATTCTTTATATAGCTTTCCAATGGCATCGGTTTGTTACTACTGAATGGTGTGATCTAAGTCCATGAGTACTCTGGAAGTTGGGAAATGGCAGAGTTTTTTTTTCTGAGAACCATAACACACGTTTTTTTTGGTGGAAAAATGCCCTAAAATTGTCATATTCAACACTGACAAACAACTTGGTCCCGTAACTTCTTGTTGAGTACATTCAGCTCCTCTGTAATGTCAAATCAACAAGAAAAGCCAAGTCCATGAGCCCTTTTGGGTTCACTTAGTATAGGAAGAAACCACACATCATCATTCTCCATGACGGCTGTCAATGCTAAACTGCGTTCAAGCTGTGGGCAGGAGTTTGCAATAATTTTGAATAGCTGGTGCGAAGGAAGATGCTATTGTTGGGAGAATGAATTTGGATTTTTTTTTTTTTGTGGTTATTGTAGAACATGTCACTTTAACTCACCCTTTTTTTAAAGTGACGAATCTGACAGGCTCGGAATTTTCCTCACTCGAAAACACTGTAAACACTAGCGGAAATTTTCACAGGGATTGTTTGATACTGTGTCTGATTGCTTCCATTTACACAATTAATGGTCGTACATAACAGACTTACTGACTTTTTAAACTTTTCCCAGAACCGCACTTTGGCAATGTGTTTCTCATTAAGTGCTATAAGTTTGAGACCCCCTGCTCTAAGCCAATTATAATATGTTTAAAAAGGTAAATATATATATATATCTCTTCAACAGAAGACGTTGTCTGTATGGATACTTACTTCTCGGAGATCACCACTGCTGAGAACGCCCCAAACACCCATTAATAGTGCAAGCAGGTGGCGCCGATTGAGACCAACGACGCCACAACAAAATGGCGAGTGAGAGTGTCATCATAAAACGGCACTGGATTTATTGACCTACTCATTTTGCCGAATTGCCGAATGGATATATTTTATGTTAACTACACAAATAGCTTATTTACTTAAATATTACTTGTTATAATGGAAACGGAATATGTTAAACAAAGCTAGTGACATTGAAAACAATGTCAGTTGTCAGTTTAAGGTTAAAGATGAAGAACTAAAGTAACACCATTTCTTGATGTTAAGGAGATAGCCAATTTATTAACAAATGTAGTAAATCCCCTACCTTGTTTTGTTTTTCCCTTCCATTTTTTCATTCAATTTAACTTAAACATCCTCGACATTCCAACCATACATATTATGGTTATTTTATATTATCAAATGTGTAAATATTTATTTCCAATCAATGTGTATCATATTTTATTAAGGATCGATACTTCCGTATTGGTACCGGTAGTATATTATACGTGTTATGAGCTGTTAAAAATTCAAACTTTAGTTTTTTAAAATAGATACAGTATTGGAAAAATTATGAAAAATAATTTCTTTTACTTTTACAGATTTTTTTCTAAATAAGTGAAATCGACGACAGTAAAAGAGTTAAATTAGTTAACTGAGTTTAGAAAAATCCTTGGAAAGATGATATAAATTCTGGAAGACAGCCTTTTACATATTTCATTCTAATTTTTTTAACATATTATTTTGAAATCTTCGCATTTTATTATTATTTTTTTTTTTGGATAAATTTAATGTAAGTAGGATGATTGTTATTTAGTTATGGAACGTAAAGAGATCATGTACTAAACATAATAATGTAGTAATTTTTTTTTGAAAGTAAAAGATCTTTAACCATGTATAGCCTTAAAAATGTATTAAGTATAAACAACTTAACTCCCTTTCTTTGCGTAATAAGAAGAAAACTATCAACATGACTCATCAAAGGCCAGAGTAGCCTTATAAATATCTTGTAACTAAATTACGAATATTTTAAACGCAAATTTTAATAAATAATTCAGAAGAACATTGGCTGCAATTCAGACAAAGGATGACTATTTGCTTTGAGCAAAACATTTCCGAGACGGAAGCGTTGGGACCAAATTATAGAACGTACAGAAATCCCACAAACTATGAGAACAGATTTCAATGACAACTGGGCATCCATTAAGTTGTGCTGAGTGTCACTGTGTTTTAGTTAGTTCTATTTTTTTTAAAAAATACTAATACATTGTATGGACACTCAATCCTGCAATGTAAGTCTGTGACTGTGCACCAGACAACCAATGGGGGAATGTATGTACTGGACATCCTTTTGTGATTTGTAAGTCCTATGTTTATCACAAGACACCCAATTGTGGCATGTAAGGCCTTCGTTCATCAATAGATACCAATTTATGCAATGACAGTTCTGTGAATATGCACTAGGCACCCAATTGTGGGATCTATTTTAATTTTACCATTTATGTTAATGGGTGTACATATGTTTAATTTGCTTTTATATTCCAATCAGAGCACCAAATAAAACCTTTTTAACCCGTCAAAAACGCTTTACTTAATTCATCATAATATAATTGTTTGTAGAATATATTAAATGAGTCACACCAATAAATATACAACATATCAGATTGCAAGTTATCTGTAATTAATTTTTTTTTTTCAATTTTATTTTTTATAGTTCATTAATTTAAAAAAATTTAAAAAATGGAGAATTTCTTTTCCTTAGATGATCTGTCTTAACACCATTGTAGTCGAGTCATGACTGAATTTAGTTAAAAATGCAACCAATATAAAGATTGAAAACCAGTTTAAGACATTATCAAAAACTCATTGAAAATAGAAAAATGATATTGCTACATTCTTTGTTGGGCCTTTATTGGTGTAGGGCATATAGCACTGGGGCTAAGTTGTAATATATTATGCTGTGTGTGTTATGTATTAAGATATGTATTAATTATTTCCTTTGATGCTTTCGAATATTGGAAGGACGTTCATGAACTTCATCATCCATGTCTTCATCAGACACGACAAAGTTTTCCATTGTTCTTGTTTCTCATGTGTTGCATAGCTTTCAATCCCTGTTTGTAAGACCCGATGGACTTCATCCTTGCACTGAGATGTTAAATCATATGTGCAGTAAGTGTTCCGTTCATTACTACTTTCATTGAAGGATTTTATGTATGACAGGCGTTTTGAGTACATCATATTTGGGAAATAGTTGATGATACTTGGCAAACGACAGCCGTGCCTAACAGGGCGGTACCTTTGTGATAGAGGAAAAACAAGTTAGTGTACGCTCATAGTTCATTTCATATTATGGGGATTAGTCGACATGACTGTCATGTACGTACAAAAATAATGCAATATCTTGTGGACTACTCTGAGAAGGTACCTTTGGGATACATAAAAAAAACAAAACAATTAGTGTACGCTCATTGTGCATTTGATATTGTTGTCACTACTAGACATGACTGTTCATCTACTTATAAAGATAATGCGTTTCCGGGTGGATTACTCAAAATAGGGGGGGGGGGTTGGGGTTCGGACTATTCTCTGAACAAAATTATTTATATCAGAAAAACAAAACAATTAGTGTACGCTCATTGTGCATTTGATATTGTTGTCACTACTAGACATGACTGTTCATCTACTTATAAAGATAATGCGTTTCCGGGTGGATTACTCAAAATAGGGGGGGGGGGGTTGGGGTTCGGACTATTCTCTGAACAAAATTATTTATATCAGAATATACGGATGCCAAGATCAAGTGTTCTTTGATCTTATCTAGCGTCAGTAATCTATTTATAGCAGTGCTTTCGAACATGTGTGACACCAGCAGGGGGAAGGTGTGTCGTTTTGCAATGTGTAAGTAAGTCGCCTGCAGGGTGAAGGTGCGTCGCTTTGCAGTGTGTAGGTAAGTCGCCAGCAGGGTGAAGGTGCGTCGCTTTGCAATGTGTAGGTAAGTCGCCTGCAGGGTGAAGGTGTGTCGCTTTGCAATGTGTAGGTATGTTGCTTGCAGGGTGAAGGTGTGTCGCTTTGCAATGTATAGGTATGTGGCTTGCAGGGTGAAGGTGTGTCGCTTTGCAATGTGTAGGTATGTCGCTTTCAGGGTGAAGGTGTGTCGCTTTGCCGTGTGTAGGTATGTCGCTTGCAGGGTGAAGGTGTGTCGCTTTGCAATGTGTAGGTATGTCGCTTTCAGGGTGAAGGTGTGTCGCTTTGCCGTGTGTAGGTATGTCGCTTGCAGGGTGAAGGTGTGTCACTTTGCAGTGTGTAGGTATGTCGCTTGCAGGGTGAAGGTGTGTCACTTTGCAGTGTGTAGGTATGTTGCTTGCAGGGTGAAGGTTTGTCGCTTTGCAACGTGTAGGTTATGTCGCTTGCAGGGTGAAGGTGTGTCGCTTTGCAGTGTGTAGGTATGTTGCTTGCAGTGTGAAGGTGTGTCGCTTTGCAATGTGTACGTATGTCGTTTGCAGGGTGAAGGTGTGTCGCTTTGCAATGTATAGGTATGTGGCTTGCAGGGTGAAGGTGTGTCGCTTTGCAATGTGTAGGTATGTCGCTTTCAGGGTGAAGGTGTGTCGCTTTGCAATGTGTCGGTATGTCGCTTGCAGGGTGAAGGTGTGTCGCTTGCAGTCTGTAGGTATGTCGCTTTCAGGGAACATGTGTGTCGCATCCAGTGTGTAGGTGTGTCGCTTGCAGTGTGTAGTGCAAAAGAAATAAGCCATAGCAACATTCACTCATTTGTAGACATTAAAAACTGCAGGAATTTTAAAAAAGTAATTTTCACAGTCGTGCATGTGATAAATTATATTAAAAGCAGATATCTTCATTTAAGCAATTTAGAAAAAAATGGTTTTCACTGCATGGGTAAAAGTTTAAAAATCTGATCCTACACACAAAATATTATTGGCTCTGATGATGTTGGGTGGTGGCAAAGTAAACGAAATTAGGGAAAGTATGCTTACATATTTGAAAGAAAAATAATCAAAATGATCTAATGGTCTAATTTAAAACAAGAATGTGCCCACAAACTTAGAATATCTTGCTGACATAATTTGACGCATGAATAGAATTTAAAATACAAATGGATTTTATTTGAATAATCGTAACTGTAGTATATCAAATTTTTGCTATGAGATTGGGGGGTGGGGGCAACATAAGGATATTACTCCGTCATCGCTGGCTCCAAGCCCGAGTGCAAAATTAGAAAGTTTTACGTGAGGCCAGCTACTTGACCCATAGCAAAAAAAAAAAATATTCAGAAATGTTAACAAGAATAAAAAACAAAATAATTTAAGCTTTGATAAGAGAGGGATCTTCTTCCCCAAAAGAGTTATGAAGGTCAAATTATACTGGAAGCCGTGGGCCCTATTGTCATATGCAATTAAAACAGCCCTGTGGAATGTAAGAAAGTTTTATGAAACAGGAAAAATTAGTAAAAGTGGCGACAGAAATAAGAACATACAAACTCACAAACTCACAATGTTCGGCAAGTGGTGGTGTTCGGTTTTCCAAAAACTGTTACACAAAATATACCCGTGTGGTGATCTGACGTATGTTTTACTAAAGAGCTTTTGTCTCGTATAAGATCTCCTCTTGACACTATGTCTAGGGTTTCGTTAATTAAGCCAAATTACCACACAGACATAAAAGCCTCCCTATATACATATAGACTGAAAAGAAGTCTTTTTTAAAGGAGAAAATAATTACAAGTATTTATTGAATAAGGGTAATTACAATTTCCTACGTATTGCACTCTTGGTGATTACTATTTATACCAAATGGATATCATTCAATTATAAATTTATATCAATGAAATACAAGATTCCCTAACATACTGACAGTGTCATCATTATTAATACTATATTGCTCAAGGTTTTATGTTCAATCCTTGTAGACTCCTTCTGTTCCAGAAAGGTGTGCCTGTTACGGTCCGACTTCGCTACGCTTGGAACAGCTCCGTAGAGTTCCCGGTCGTAGAATCCGTGGGATCTCTGCGATGGGGAAGATGATTCTCCAGCGATAAATCGTGGTAGTAAAAGTCCCTTGATCTCAAAGTCCTTCTAGTAGCCATAGGTAGTTTGGTGTAGGACGTAAATCAATTACCTAGTTCCAGCTTCAAGGTAGGTCGGTCCCGTAATAGAAACCAGGCTACAGGCAAAATGATACAAAATAGATACGTATCCAGGCGTAAGGCTGACAAGTCCCGTTCCAACAGCAACGAATTCAGATCGGTGTATGGAAGGGGACATAGCTTGTACATGTACATCCAATTTGTGGATAGATATATAAGTCTTGTCATTGTTGGCGTAAGCATATGTTGCTTTGCGACAATGTTGGACCAAGCAAGCATTTTAGTTAATGAAGCATTGGGCATTGCATCATTAACAACCATTAAATTTACAGGTACATGTATACATATTGTCATCTTGTTCAAAAGAGACATGGGCGAGTTGGAACAACAACCTACCATCTGTATGATGGTATGGCGGTGTGTCGTAGCCCGCGGTAAAGGCAATATTAGAATGCATGATATCAATAACATAATATAGGCATTATTACAATAATAAAATCAAACACGAGCGAAATCTTGCTACATAACTATATGAACATTACAAGGGCAATAACATAATATCAAAATTATGGTTGCGTACTTACTAGTATTCTAGGTTGCAGTTTTCGATCCCGCTAATGAAGTCCTAAGTCTAGCTACTCCAGCGTCCACAGTCAAGTGATTAGATCATAAAAGACAGAGTCTTATTTGTTCTGACTTATTTATTTGATTTGGTTGATGATTCAATTGGGTGGTTTAAATGTTGTTTGTTTTCCATCCAATGATAATCACTTTTAATGTTGCAGGTTTGACCTTCTAACCATCAAAGTTTATCGGTGTGAGGGGGGGGGGGGAGAATGCGAAATCACGCTTTTGCGTGAGCTGTCTGTCTTAGCAATGCAATAACAACAAGGGCAATAACTCGGGGTTACTACTGCGAGAGCAAAACTGAGGGGGAGGAAGGGTATTATTTTTACAAGGGTTTACAAGGGCGGATATATGGTCGAAGAATAATTGTCCAATGTCCACCCTCAAATCATGACAACCCCGGTCCCTAGTTGGGAAATGAGAGTCATGCGTCAAAAGTTAACATCAAAAGTTAACACACTATCACATACCAAGCACAGCAGAGAAACTCCCAAGGTGGCTCTTGGCTGCTGTAAAAGGAAAAATAATAAACCAGATCTTACGTATTTTTACAATTCAATTGTTGCACTGCCTAGGCTTCATAAGACCACTGTAATAATAATAATAATTATAATAATTTACAAACTTTCAAAGTTGAATAGAGAACTAAAATTCATTGGGACAAAGATTTTCCGTCTGATCCCTAATCCAAACTTAGTAGCCATCTTTTATGCTACACATGATATAGAAAAAATGTCTAAACATAAATTTCAGAACTGGTTAAAATTAGACAACAAGAAAAATGTATTACCTCGATTAACAGAAGGTCCTATGCACACAGGGGTCCCTGAAAGATGCAACGTACTTATAAGATAAGAAATGTTTTTAATTCCAACTTACTGATAAAAGTACAGGGTGCGACTTACATCAGAAATAGAAGATAATCTCAAGTCCCTTCTCCAAAAAGTCATCCTCCAACTGGCAAATTCAACTAAGATCTTAGAAAGGTGGGCATTTGTTTGTAAGGCAATGTAATGAGTATGAAGGAAGGCCGTATGCTGAAGGATCTCCTATATGGTAAGTTGGCAGAAGGCTCAAGACTTATTGGACAGACACGGTTTGGATTAAAGGAATTTTGCAAAAGGGGCGTGAGGCAATGCAACATAGAATTCAATGAAAGTAGAATCATCGCAGAGCACAATGCCAACGAAGATTATATATATATAATATGTACGTGTGTGCGTATGTACGTATGTACGTGTGTACGTGTGTACGTGTGTGTATGTACGTGTGTGTGTGTACGTATGTACGTGTGTACGTATGTATGTGTGTGTGTACGTGTGTGTGTACGTGTGTGTGTGCGTGTGTGTGTACGTGTGTGTGTGTGTGTACGTGTGTGTGTGCGTGCATGCATGCGTGTGTGCGTGCGTGCGTGTGTATGTATGTATTTATGTCCCCTATGGGCCCCTACACAATTCATACGATTGCGATAAAAACTTGGGTGGGTTTAGTCTACAAGCCTGAGCATTATTCAGAGTCTCTACAAATCTTTTCAAACGGTACGTTTTGGTGACGCTGCCCTCAATTCGTTTCTTTCCTTATATGAGCTTTGTAAAAAAATACTATCCGTATGCGCTCCTATACCATTTATCCTTAGCGCTAAAACTTTGGTCGGATGTTCAGTTTTAAGCCACATTTGTTTTCCGTAAGCCCGTGCCTTTTTCTAAGTAATTACAACCCATTTAAAATAGTTCGTTTTTAGCCATTGACCTTAAATTCTTATTTTTCGTATATGAGCTTCGTAAAAAAAAAAAATAAGTTATGTATGTACCGTTCATGAGATTGCGATACAACTTTGTTGAGTTGTGCGCAGGCCCGAAAGACGTTTCTGAATTATTACAACCATTTTTAAATGCTCCGTTTGGAGCCAGGGGTCAAAGGTTCTTTTTTTTTGTTATAGGAGCTTTTAGAATATAATTTCAAACAGTCCATGCAATTGTGGACAAAATTTTGTATCAAATACAAATAGCGACATTAAATTTTTGTCCGTGACATATTAAATAGGTTTCTGAGGTATCCCACCATTTCTACAATATTCCGTTTGTTGCCGGGGGCCCTAAATTCGTTTTCCCCCTCTTATCATATATATATATATATATATTGTTTGTTTGTTTGTTTGTTTGTTTGTTTGTGAGTGGATTTGTTGCACATTAATTTTTTTATGGATTGATGGATCTTGATTTAAACTTGGCACATATATCAATCATTAACCAGAATCATATACTATGGAGTTGTTAATCTTTTTATTACATTTCGTTTGGAGCTGGGGTTTATCACTTGATTATCTGTATTAAAATGGCGGAGGGTACTTAACTCATTATATCCATTCCTCTGGGCCTGGCGACATCATTTCATTTTCCTCATATAAGCTATGTAAATATCAATAGGCTTAACATTCCTACATGATTACATGGATCTTGACCAAACATAGTACACATAAACTTGATTATCCATATTCAAAAACCGAAGGGTACTGAACTCATAATATCCATCTCTCTGGGGCCCGGAGGGGGGGGGGCCCATTTCATTTTTCCTTGTATATGCTATATAAATATCGATAGTCTTAGACAACTCTATAGGCTCTATGTGAATTGATGGATATAGGCATATCGTGGTAGCAATACACTTCATTGTTCGAATTGAAATATCTGTGGATTTAACACTAAGAATATTCAATCCATTCAGGCCCGATCTAAAATTTTCTAGACATTTCGATACTTTAAATAAAAAAAATATATCTATGTCATTAAACACACGATTTTAAGGACACACAGTTTCAATTTTAACTTCAAAATTCTTTGAATGATTTTTATAGTGCCCCATATATCAGACATAACATAACGGAACTTTATTAAATGGGCCCCCACTGGTGCCCTTATTTTAATTTAATATATTATTTTTATAGTAGAGCATTTTAGCTCTATACTATTTCGTATTTGAAAAATTACGTAGAAAATACATTTTTTACTGGTTTCATAGAGGATATAAAATTGTCTCTAAAATGTTGCTGGAGGTTTTGTATTGTTCTACGGGGATTTTTAATGAGATCTAAAAGCTTATTTAAACAAATGCGCCCTAAGCATGATCCCGTAGATGAATAAGATCCTAACGGGGAACGAGATCCAACTGTCAACTGGAACCAATCGGTAACGCGATCCCATCGGGTAACAGGATCAAACCGGAATCGGGATCCCATCGTGAAACGGAATAACATCAGAAAGAGGGTTCCTTGGTGGAACTGGATTCCACAGAGGATGGTATCCTAACGGTATCGGTAGCTCACTAGGAGTGATATTGCAACGCAGCCTGGGTACTCGCTAGTCTGACCTAAAATTCAAATCAAAGAACAGCGAAAATAGAGATTAATGTAAAAAAAATAAAACAGCTTTAATGAAGCATTTTTTTTTTGTTCACGATATTCCTTGTTTTCTCTTGGGTGTAAGCAGATGTAAGTTACTCTCAAAGGAACTCTTTAAAAACATGTCTTACCGTATACACGAGGCGTTTGAAAACCAGGACTGTATGTAAATATTCCCTTATTGGCAAAGCGCAAAAACATTTGCGTTTGGCTGTAAGCAGTTTTTGCCGTTAGGTTACACATGAGTCGGACGTGTTTCGTATCCATGAACGTGCAGGCACAAGAGTCGATCCTAACATGATTCACGTCTCTACAGGTTGCTCCTTTCAACCAAAATATGGTTTCACCAATCTGAAGGCATTATAAGGGTTTATTTTTAAAACTTGCATGTTGAAGCATTTTTAGTTGACATTGGATAATCCAATCATTCAACTTGTCTTTAAAATGTAATGTATTTTCCGGTATTCAAAATCCTTTTCCTCTTACAAACTTTCTTACATATCTGTATAACTGTCTTTCTTACTACCAAAGTATTGAAATGTGTCCTTGCCTGTCCGTAATATCTTTGTGTTTGTGTGTTTTTTTGTTTTTTTTTTACAGCAAATGTATCCTCATTTGTCCTTGACTTTTGGTAAAATGTGATATTCCTTACTCCCAATGTAATCTCAATTATCGTTGACTTTCAGCAATATGTGATATTTCTTACTCCCAAAGTAACCCCATTTCTCCTTGAATTTTGGTATTATGTGTGATTTCTTTCTCTTACATCATAACAATTTGTCCATGGCCTTCGGTAACATGTGTTATTTCTTACGCCTAAGAATTCCTATTTATCCTTACCTAGATTTAATGATGGCTGATCCAATATATATTTAAGATTGAGCCAAAGTGAAAAAACGCCAAAGGACCAATACTACTTAAGTACTTTCGGATTATCATAGTTTTTTTTTCTATTTTTTGACATCAATCAAATAAAGTTAAATGCGCAAAAAATTATTTAAATCCGCTTTTATTTTAGTAAAAGTTTAAGTATTATTATTGTAAATTACAAATACATTTTAAGTAATAGCTAAGGAACATTTTAAACAATTTATCTGAATTTAAAAGCTATGAAAAAAAAATTCGTAATTAAATTGTGATCTAAGAATTACATCGTAATCTCATTCATCGGGAAAACCCAAACATCAGTTGTTTTTAGTGCGTTTTCTAGTGCGTTGTTAATATTGCGAAATAAAATCAAAATTAATTTCTTTTTAATAAACACGCTTTTGAAATTGGGGACTAATGAGAATAAAATATGGATTCAAGTATCCACGGACGAGCAACCCAATTTGTTACGAACTGGCTTCTATTGTGATACATTAATCTCTTGTTTTAAGTCATCGGTCGTTCCCACGGTGCACAACAAAGGACGATACCATAGAGAAATACAATAATAAAGATACGACACGCAAAAACAGTTGCCAATTACAATTAATAAGATTTAATTGAGTAATAATACAATTACAAAACAAAAGAAATATCATTAACAATCATCAACTTACAGAGTATGGGAAAGTCTTGTACCGGTACACAATTAGTACAATGTGCCAATTAATAATAATGAATGATGAATGCGAAATAAACGCATATGAGCACACAAATAATAATACAATTGTCTCGTAAAGTTAATAATCTCTATCTGAATCTCTGCCTAAATCTCCGAATTCCCTTTTTATACATATGCGTCGGTAGAACCAACGCTTCTAGAAATTTCTTTATCTTTCTAGTCAATTATCGAAGTTCCCCCAAAAATCTGTTAGAAAATATTATATATTTTTAGTTGTGGGAAAACAACGGCTAGATCAACGGGAAAATAGGACCACGCCTAATGCGACCGCCGTCTCATGTGGGGTCAACCAGAGTGCAAGGCACGAGGAAAGTGTGCTACATAACCCATGTATATGACGCAATAAGGCGTGAGTCACCAAAATGTTTGCCATAACTCTTAAGTTTCTTTGAATTAATAACCGCGCGTTAAAAAAAACTGATCAAGTAATTTCTCCTTTCTTAAAAGTAAAATTTATAAATTAAATTGATTGCTCTTTAAATTGTTAATAAAACGCACACAAAATTTAGCGTTGTATTTTAAACATTTAATAAGTTGTGCTTTTTTAATTCCACACAAAAAAAAAAGACTTTTATTAAATTGACACCGTAATAAAAACGTAATCTATAAATACACTGCTAATAAGAAAATGCCGTTTGAGGCAATCAGTAGCAGCGCACTTCCATAGCCAAATAGCATTCACCAATCCACTTATACCTCATACAAATAAGAACCAACCATATGAAGTGCAAACTATGTTAGTTGCGTATGAAAGGGACTACAATCCGGTGGAAGATTTTCTAATTTTATTTAAATCTGGGCTGGGGGATGGGTTGGTCACTTTGCCCCAGGCAGCACAAGATACAGCTCAAAATAAAGGAGTGAATTGGATAAATAATTAACCTTCTTGTGTACATTCATATAGGAGGAAGGACATAGGATGTGTACATTTTCACGTGGATAACAAAATATTTAAATCCTATGGTATTACATTTTTGAAAAATGAGATGTTACATTCTCTTTTTTACAAATATGTGTATGTTCATTTTGCCCAAGGCAGCACACGATACGTCTTAAAATAAAGGAATGAATTTGATAAATATTTAATTTTCTTGGGTAAATACATTTCGGAAGTAGGAAATAAGATGTGTACATTTTTACGTGGATGACACTATAGCTAACTCCTATGGTATTACGTTTGTGAAGAAAGATATGTTACATTCTCTTTTTACAAATAAACAAATGTTTTCCAATTAAGAACATTTTAAAGGCGTTAACGAATGGTGGGTACATTTTTTTTAGTATACCCATGAATATCAAAACCCAATCATTTTACACACTTGAAAAATTAATTTTTAAAAATAGAGATGGATTAATATTTACTTTCAAAATATGAAAATATGTTTTTGTTTTTACTTGGCAAAAAGTAACCAGGTGGTGTATTTTTATGAGATTAACAATTTAATTTTTTTTAAAAAGGCACTCAAATCTGTTATAAGCCTGAAACAAGTGTGCGAGAATCTTCTTTAGATAAAAGAATTATTTGTTTTACGATTTTCTGATAGTGAATAATTTAAAAAACAAGGCAAAAGCCATTTAAACACATTGTCAATAAGCTACTAAAATGTCTCATGAGCCATTCAAGAATGTAGGAATAAGCTATTCTAAAATCTCTTGCGTCATTCAATAAATTTTCAATAAACTACTCCAACGTCTCATGAGCAATTAAAGAAAGTGTAAATAACCAGCTTCAACATCTTATCAGCCATTCAAGAAATCGTTAATAAGCTATTCCATCGTCTCACAGAGATTGGATAGATGACCCCAAAAAATAATCCTAATGCATGAAAAGCCACTTCACAATGACATATTTGATCACGATGTTCAACATTTGGTTATAATGAGTTACTCACCCAATCGTTGAAGTTCATCCTTCGATCTATAAAACGAATAGAGAAAGTCCCACTTTGACCGTTTTCAACGTTGGTGATGTTGATAATACCCTTTAAGATGAAATAGTCTTGATACGCTACCATTCCATCACTGCAGCTTTTTTCGTAATAGACTGGTCTCAAAAAGAGTCTAGAAGCATCAGTATCCCAACCGCTGCAAACTACGTGGGAAAGGGGAAAATAAAAGATCATTTCATTGTTGCAATTTTTTTTTAAAAATTGCTACTGCAATTTTTCTTTACTTATTTTAATAATAGCTCCATCCAAATAACCTTCCACGAGCCAATTATTAACCAATTTAAGAACGCATTTAAAGAATATTATTATATATATTGAGTTTTAGAGCTGTTCCAGACATAAATATTTGTCACAAATAGAAACGCATTGAACAGAAATCATTTATTTACCTTACTGCCCGATACCATTTTTATAAATATTGGCCAAGACGTCAAAGAATAAACTGTTATTTCGTCAAACGCCTACCTGATAGGTAACATAATACTACAAGCAGTATGAGAAGGTGAAGGGCTCCCGTAATTTCAGACATTTTCTTTGGACGCTTGATGTAAGACAGAGGATTTGATATCTTTAATTCAGCCTGTGAAAATTTGTAACAATGCATAATGATCCAATTATGATTTGAAACTATTTCGTCATAAGATTAACATGTGCCTTTTTTTCTTCGGTTATGTCTACGTGTACACGCTATCAGGAGAGATAAAAGTCTTCTCCCTTGGCAAACCTATTCCTCCACATTTGTTTTAAAAGGAAACTTTGCAAATGTGATCGACCAATGGTTCATTCTGTGGTCTATTCTACTTAAAGGTATTAATTTAGTCACGGATAATAGTTAAAGTTATTATCAGATTTGCAGAGAAAAAAATATTTTTACAAATATCTGAGACATTATGTTAAACAATTAATTGTTAATTAATTTCAGAAACTTTGACTTTAGACGTATATAGGTGGACATAGGTGGATAAAGGTGGACATAGGAGGTCATAGGTGGACAGAGGTGGACATAGGTGGGCATATGTGGACATATGTGGACATAGAGATGGACATAGATGGACATATAGGTGGACATAGATGGAAATAAGTGGAAATAGGTGGACATAGATGGACATAAGTGGACATAGGGGGGCATAGGTGGATATAGATTAAGAAGGGCCTAAAAGTGGCGAATGGAATGAATGGTATGGCTCTTTTAACGGGCCTACCTGTGGCGAATGGTTTGATAGGCATGGCTCTTTTAAAAAGGCCCCTGCAGCAAATGATATGACAGATATGGCTTTTTTGAAGGGCCTACCAGCAGCAAACGGAAAGACTGGTAAAGATCTTCTGACGGTTCTATCTATAGCAAATGTTTTGACTGGTATGGCTCTTTGAAGTATCTACCTCTGGCGAATAGTATGATCGGCATGGCATTTTTCAAGGACCTACTTGTAGCAAATGGAAGGCTCTTTTGACGGGCCTACCAATGTTGTTTTGATTGGGATGACTCTTTTGACGGCCTACCAAGGTTGTATTGACCATGTTTTTTTTTATTGGAAAGACTCTTTTGACGGGCCTACCAAGGTTGTTTTGACCATTTTTTTTATTGGAAAGACTCTTTTGACGGGCCTACTAAGGTTGTATTGACCATGTTTTTTTTATTGGAAAGACTCTTTTGACGGGCCTACCAAGGTTGTATTGACCATGTGATTTTTTATTGGAAAGACTCTTTTGACGGGCCTACTAAGGTTGTATTGACCATGTTTTTTTTATTGGAAAGACTCTTTTGACGGGCCTACCAAGGTTGTATTGACCATGTTTTTTTTTATTGGAAAGACTCTTTTGACGGGCCTACTAAGGTTGTATTGACCATGTTTTTTTTTATTGGAAAGACTCTTTTGACGGGCCTACTAAGGTTGTATTGACCATGTTTTTTTTTTATTGGAAAGACTCTTTTGACGGGCCTACTAAGGTTGTATTGACCATGTTTTTTTTTATTGGAAAGACTCTTTTGACGGGCCTAATTAATGACAAATGGATATGACTGATACGGATCTTTTAAATAGCCTCCTTATGGCGAATGGTATGACTTGGATGTCTCTTTTGACGGGTACAACAGGTGCAAATGGTATAAAGTTATGGCTCTTTTGATGGGCCTGACTGCGACAAATGACTGGTGTGGATCTTTTGACGGGCCTTCCTGTGGCGAGCAGTTATGTCTTGTGTGGCTGGTTTCATGGGACCCCAATGTGGCAAAAAGAAAGTTGTCTACTAGAAGGTAAGTTCCGTACGGTCCAATAAAACAATGTTAGAGTCTAGAACCCCATTTTATCTCCTAGCCCCTACAAGGCTTGTATGTAGAGCTCTGTGGTTGTCTCCTAGCCCCTACAAGGCTTGTGTGTAGAACTCTGTTGTTGTCTCCTAACCCCTACAAGGCTTGTGTGTAGAACTCTGTTGTTGTCTCCTAACCCCTACAAGGCTTGTGTGTAGAACTCTGTTGTTGTCTTCTAGCCCATACAAGGCTGATGTGTAGAAATCTGTTGTTGTCTCCTAGCCCCTACAAGGCAGATGTGTAGAACTCTGTTGTTGTCTCATAGCCCCTACAAGGCTTGTGTGTAGAACTCTGTTGTTGTCTCCTAGCCCCTACAAGGCTGATGTGTAGAAATCTGTTGTTGTCTCCTAGCCCCTACAAGGCAGATGTGTAGAACTCTGTTGTTGTCTCATAGCCCCTACAAGGCTGATGTGTAGAACTCTGTTGTTGTCTCCTAACCCCTACAAGGCTGATGTGTAGAACTCTGTTGTTGTCTCCTAGCCCATACAAGGCAGATGTGTAGAACTCTGTTATTGTCTCCTAGCCCCTACAAGGCTGATGTGTAGATCTCTGTTGTTGTCTCCTAGCCCCTACAAGGCTGATGTGTAGAACTTCGTTGTTGTCTCCTAGCCCTACAAGACTTGTGTGTAGAACTCTGTTGTTGTCTCCTAGCCCCTACAAGGCTGATGTGTAGAACTTCGTTGTTGTCTCCTAGCCCTACAAGACTTGTGTGTAGATCTCTGTTGTTGTCTCCTAGCCCCTACAAGGCTGATGTGTAGAACTTCGTTGTTGTCTCCTTGCCCCTACAAGACTTGTGTGTAGAACTCTGTTGTTGTCTCCTAGCCCCTACAAGGCTTGTGTGTAGAACTCTGTTGTTGTCTCCTAGCCCCTACAAGGCTGATGTGTAGATCTCTGTTGTTGTCTCCTAGCCCCTACAAGGCTTGTGTGTAGAACTCTGTGGTTGTCTCCTAGCCCCTACAAGGCTTGTGTGTAGAACTCTGTGGTTGTCTCCTAGCCCCTACAAGGGTGATGTGTAGAACTCTGTTGTTGTCTCCTAGCCCCTACAAGGCTTGTGTGTAGAACTCTGTGGTTGTCTCCTAGCCCCTACAAGGCTGATGTGTAGAACTCTGTTGTTGTCTCCTAGCCCCTACAAGGCTTGTGTGTAGAACTCTGTTGTTGTCTTCTAGCCCCTACAAGGCTGATGGGTAGAACTCTGTTGTTGTCTTCTAGCCCATACAAGGCAGATGTGTAGAACTCTGTTGTTGTCTTCTAGCCCCTACAAGGCTGATGGGTAGAACTCTGTTGTTGTCTTCTAGCCCATACAAGGCTGATGGGTAGAACTCTGTTGTTGTCTCCTAGCCCCTACAAGGCTGATGTGTAGAACTCTGTTGTTGTCTCCTAGCCCCTACAAGGCAGATGTGTAGAACTCTGTTGTTGTCTCCTAGCCCATACAAGGCAGATGTGTAGAACTCTGTTATTGTCTCCTAGCCCCTACAAGGCTGATGTGTAGAACTCTGTTGTTGTCTCCTAGCCCCTACAAGGCAGATGTGTAGAACTCTGTTGTTGTCTCCTAGCCCCTACAAGGCAGATGTGTAGAACTCTGTTGTTGTCTCCTAGCCCATACAAGGCAGATGGGTAGAACTCTGTTGTTGTCTCCTAGCCCCTGCAAGGCTGGTGTGTAGTGTAACGACAAATTATCACGAGACAGTTTAAAATGTTCCGTTTTCCTTAATTAATATGCTGTGTAAAACACAATACACAACAATGCATAAATAATAATTCCTGTGGTTCAAATTAGAAACGAAAACTATTCTCCTATCAAGAATCCTAAGATACACTCCACTCATAAAAACACTAACACACTCGTACAACAACAACAAAAAAAAAATACAATGTTTGCCGTCGCTTACAAAAATGTACACACCATTTTATCCAGTTTTTTTTTAAACCACTTAGTCGCTGTCATATGTTACTGAGTTTAGATTTTGATTAAAGGGGCAAGGATTGAATGAAAAAAAAGAGAAACTCATTCATTCTGTCACATTATACACATCACGACTTGACACCGAAAATCAACATCACATACTCTCACTGACAATGAATACAAGCTTATAATTTAAAGAATTGTTACAATCACGTTAAAAGAATAGATATACGTCATAGTGAAACCTCGTCCATTTTCAAAAAGTCCCTTAAAACTCATCTGTTTAGGTCCACCTATGACCTGTGATGCACCCTCCTTGCCCTACCTAATTTTCTGTTTCGGTTTAATCCTGAAGTGTCAAAGTGTCCTCTTTTTATAGCCATTTTCATTGTTTCTATAGAATAGTAGTTACTATCCTAGTGTCTCATTTGTATTTACTTAGTTTACATGTTTTAATAATTGTAAAGCGCTTAGAGCTATATGATAAGCGCTATATAAAAATGCCTAAATAAATAAATAAATAAATAAATAAATAAATACGATCATGTATAACAACGAGTGCCGTTGTAGTCTAGCAAGGGTCTAAGTGTTCCAATGAAATATGGAAAGATTTTAGGTGTGCCGTGGAAATCTGAGATGGGCAGAGCTACGGCATGGAAATATGGAAAGGGTCTAGGTGTGCAACTGGTAACCTGGGATGCGCCTCTAAATGTTGGAGTTATATTTGCATTTTAGTTTAATAAAACATTCGAGCGATATTGTCTGTTAAAGTGCTTCTTGTTTGCTTGAAAAGCATTACATACACAGGCACATACTTAATAACATATTCACCCCAGCAACAATCTCTGCACCCCCATGCAGAGGGTGTTTGGCGCCCGGGGACAAGATTCGCGCCCGGGGACAAGATCCATTTTAAAGCGCCCCCTTTTTCTTTTTTTTTCAACTCTCAAACCCATTATTTTCATCAATAAAGAAATATCAAAGCGCATTTTTGCGCCCCTAACTAGCTGGCGCCCGGGGACATCTGTCCCCCCCCGCCACCCCTTCGCTACGCCTCTGCCCCCATTTGCACCGGGACATTGCATTCAGAGGCTTCTTGCCTGTAGTGTTTAAAAACCGGAATACAGCGAATGTTGATGTATCGAAGTCATAAGTTATGTTACGATATACTCACGAGTCCTTAAATAAGGTTACTGCCTTCAATTACCTGAACACAATGTTAAACCACAGCCTTTCTTCTGGTGGTTGATTGAGCGGGTCGTGATGGGGAATTCAACTAAATGGCCAAAAAAAAGGCGAAGGAATCTCCCTAACTTCTGATGGTTCACGTATTTTGTTTTCAAATCATATCATATAACTATCCCGAGTTAATAAGTCCAAAAAAATTATTCCAGTAGCATAGAATACCGCTTTAGTAACCTAGGAAGTGCATCTTGGTCACGTGTCTCTTGGTCTAGTGCTTTATGGTGCAACTTTTGTCAAGATATTTAGTGCGCGATTAAATAGTTAAATCCTTTTTTTTAATTTCTGGTTTGGGCAATTGGATGGAATAGAATCAAATACAAACTCCGACATTGCAGTTTTTATGTGACATAATCAGTAGGTTTCTGTATTAGTACATCCATTTTACAGTGTTCCGTTTGGGGTTTGGGGGCTCTATATTTGTTTATTTATTTACTTAGGCATTTTTATATAGCGCTTACCTTAAAGCTCTAAGCGCTTTACAATTATAAAAAAAACATGTAAAGTAAGTAAAATAAAAAAAATGAGACACTAGGTTAGCATTTACTATACTATAGAAACAATTAAAATGGCTCTAAAACGAGGACACTTTGGCACGGTTTAGCTTATACTACAGGATCAACCCGAGACAGAAAATGAGGCAGGGCAAGGAGGGTGCATCACAGGTCATAGGCGGACCTAAACAGATGCTAAACAGTTTATATGTACTAAATCAGCTATATAAATTTTAAACATTGCTATTACATTGGGTGGATCAATCGTTACAAGTGTGTGGACTAAATTTTGAACATCCATGCTTCTCGTGTGGACAGCTGTGTGTGGCCTGCTCACATGGACAGCTGTGTGTGGCCTGCTCACATGGACAGCTGTGTGTGGCCTGCTCACATGGACAGCTGTGTGTGGCCTGCTCACGCTTCGAAAAACCTTCTAATCCCTTCCAATTTGCACCAGATGGTAAAAAAATTAATTGTGTGTATATAAAAAATAATTTATAAAACACAAAACACAAACTCTTTATTTCTTTGAATAGCATTGTAGAGCATGCCGGGTATTCGCTAGTTATTATGTAAAAATGTGTCCCAACCAAGGATCAGGGGAAAATTGGAAAAAATACAATATAATAGGAAGATCTCATATGTGGCAACACCAATGTCACGAACCTCAAACCAGATCTGAGTGGTTATAATAGGAACAAAACGTTCTTCATGTCTGAGTTGGTTATAATGGGAACCAAAAGTCCTTCATGTCTGAGTTGGTTATAAATTAGAACCAAATGCCCTTCATATCTGAGTTGGTTATAAATTAGAACCAAGTGCCCTTCATATCTGAGTTGGTTATAAATTAGAACCAAAAGCCCTCCATGTCTGAGTTGGTTATAAATTAGAACCAAAAGCCCTTCATATCTGAGTTGGTTATAAATTAGAACCAAAAGCCCTCCATGTCTGAGTTGGTTATAAATTAGAACCAAAAGCCCTTCATATCTGAGTTGGTTATAAATTAGAACCAAATGCCCTTCATATCTGAGTTGGTTATAAATTAGAACCAAAAGCCCTTCATATCTGAGTTGGTTATAAATTAGAACCAAATGCCCTTCATATCTGAGTTGGTTATAAATTAGAACCAAATGCCCTTCATATCTGAGTTGGTTATAAATTAGAACCAAAAGCCCTTCATATCAGAGTTGGTTATAAATTAGAACCAAATGCCCTTCATATCTGAGTTGGTTATAAATTAGAACCAAAAGCCCTTCATATCAGAGTTGGTTATAAATTAGAACCAAATGCCCTTCATATCTGAGTTGGTTATAAATTAGAACCAAATGCCCTTCATGTCTGAGTTTGGTTATAAATTAGAACCAAATGCCCTTCATGTCTGAGTTTGGTTATAAATTAGAACCAAATGCCCTTCATATCTGAGTTGGTTATAAATTAGAACCAAAAGCCCTTCATGTCTGAGTTGGTTATAAATTAGAACCAAAAGCACTTCATGTCTGAGTTTGGTTATAAATTAGAACCAAATGCCCTTCATGTCTGAGTTTGGTTATAAATTAGAACCAAATGCCCTATGACTAATCCGTTTAGGCCGAGGACTAATGGGGAGAACACGTTCCAAAGCCGACGAGTTGTCCGTTCTCAAAATCCTGTTATAATGTACAATACTCTCAAAATATATCACCATCAGGGGAAGAGTCCATCCATTGTAATGCCTACATTAATGACTGATAACTTCTAGAGTCGCGAGAAAGAAAGGGTTGCCGGAAGGGCGCACATAACAAAAATGTGTTCGGACCATCCTGATACATGCAGCCTTGCTGAGTGGTTAGACACAGTTCTTTGGGAAGGTCTAGAACGATAGCAATGTTATCAAAACTGATCTGCTCATTATTACACCAATCGCCTGCGTTCAAAAAGAAGTTAAACTCACGAGCTGGTAGTTACACATGTGTGGACGAATAAATAAGTCTAAAACTATACGCAAAAATCAATGTAGTCATTGAGACCGCTCTGAATAATATTCCCGTTTAATAATTGAAAGACTAGATAAAGAGCTGATTTTGCAGGAGCTTGAAAAACCTAGTGATCACCCTGCTAATGGGGAAAGCACCAGGGATTGACGGCATTCCGTCGGAAGTGCTCAAAAATGAAAAAAAAACCACTATACTATACTTTAGCCCTTACATGAGCTCCTCTGTCTGTATTTAGAAGCAGGTCACATTCCCAGGGCATGAGAGACGCCAACATCGTAGAATTGTACAAAAATAAATGGGACCAAAGTTATTGTAATAACTACAGTGTAATTTCTCTCCTTGTCTTGGTTGGAAAGAAGTTTTCCTGTGTTGCCCTTAAACAATTGTAGAGATTGGCTAATTGCATCTACCCAGAGTCCCTTGTGTGGCTTCCGTAATGGGCGTTCAACTATAGACGTGATATTCTCGATACGTCAAAGGCAGAATAAGTGTCGTGAACAGCATGTGCCTCTTTATATTGCTTTCATACATCTGACAAAGCCATTCGACTTGGTAAATCAGAGAGACCTTTTCGGTATCTTGCATAGAATAGGTTGTCCACCACGACTGCTCACAATCATACTATCATGTCAGAAAATCATGCACAGCACAGTAACCTTCAATGGCGCGGTCCCAGTCAGCAGGGGAGTAAAGCAAGGTTTTGTACTGGCACCAACGCTCCATTTTTTTCTCGGTGCTCCATCAATTTCAGAGACTGCGAAGAGGGAGTGTAAATCAATGTCAGTTTCTAATGGTAGGCTGTTCAATATCGCTCGCCTTTGAGGAAAGACCAAGGTAAAAAAGATACTAATTCTTGACGATGCCACCTTTACATTGAAGAAGGTCTTCAGAGGCTAGTTAATTGCCTATCACACGCTTGCCAAGAGTTTTGACTGTCAAATAGTCTACAGAAAACTAATGTCATGGTGCAAGAAGCACCCTACACTCCAATCATTTCTATTGGGGGGCCATAATTTGTCCATTATTGAAAATTGTACATACATTGGATCTATTATTTCTAGTTCTCTATCCTTTGACGAAGAGGTAGACATAATGATCGCAAAAGCAACAGCAACTATGGCTGAACTGAAAAAAGCGGGTGTGGGATAATCTCAATCTAACTGATACAACAAAACTAAGCATCTATTAGGCATGTGTGCTAGGTACGCTCCTATACGGCAGTGAAGTGTGGACTACATATACCAGAGGAACTGAAACTCAACAGCTTCCATGAAAGATGCCTGCTTCGCATTTTACGCATTCGATAGCAGGACAATTTGCCTAAAATAGAGGTTGTGGAATGGGCAAAAATGTGTAGCAAATTCTTTACTCTTAGCAAGAGGCACCTTCGCTGGTTAGGCCATGTAGGAATAATGGAGGAAGACCGTGTTCCAAATAAGTTTCTGTATGGACAGATAGCAAAAGGAACACGACTTATTATTGGAAGGCTATGCCTGAGATTAAAGGAGGTTTGCAAATGGAGCATGAGGAAAGCCAGCATTGAAATCAAAGAATGGGAGAGCATTGCTGAACAATGTTTCAAGTAATAATCAGCTGTGTATGAAGGAGTCAAAAAGCATAAGATGAGTAAAACGAAGCCTTTGCAACAAAAAGAACAACACAGAAGGCAAAATCTAACCAGGAGAAGAAGTCAATATTCTCCTGTGAGTAAGGCAATCGAGATTGTAATTCCAGGATTGGCCTAGTGAGCCATTCGTTGAAATGTACATATCTACTCATAATTAATTGAATCACATAAAAAGGACAATAATTAAAATATCTGGCTTCGGTTCCTGGTGCAACGAGAAACTTGATCATTTATCCCTTGTGCATTGCGAAACTTGTCCACCGTTTCCTGATACAATGTAAAACTTGTCCACCGGTCCCTCGTACAATGTAAAACTTGTCCACCGGTCCCTCGTACAATGTAAAACTTGTCCACCGGTCCCTCGTACAATGTAAAACTTGTCCACCTGTCCCTCGTACAATGTAAAACTTGTCCACCGGTCCCTCCTACAATGTAAAACTTGTCCACCGGTCCCTCGTACAATGTAAAACTTGCCCACCGGTCCCTCGTACAATCTAAAACTTGTCCACCGGTCCCTCGTACAATGTAAAACTTGTCCACCGGTCCCTCGTACAATGTAAAACTTGCCCACCGGTCCCTCGTACAATGTAAAACTTGTCCACCTGTCCCTCGTACAATGTAAAACTTGTCCACCTGTCCCTCGTACAATGTAAAACTTGTCCACCGGTCCCTCGTACAATGTAAAACTTGTCCACCGGTCCCTCGTACAATGTAAAACTTGTCCACCGGTCCCTCGTACAATGTAAAACTTGTCCACCGGTCCCTCGTACAATGTAAAACTTGTCCACCGGTCCCTCGTACAATGTAAAACTTGTCCACCGGTCCCTCGTACAATGTAAAACTTGTCCACCGGTCCCTCGTACAATGTAAAACTTGTCCACCGGTCCCTCGTACAATGTAAAACTTGTCCACCGGTCCCTCGTACAATGTAAAACTTGTCCACCGGTCCCTCGTACAATGTAAAACTTGCCCACCACCGGTCCCTCGTACAATGTAAAACTTGTCCACCGGTCCCTCGTACAATGTAAAACTTGTCCACCGGTCCCTCGTACAATGTAAAACTTGTCCACCGGTCCCTCGTACAA